TGTGAAGCCGTCTTCTGTTTTTTTTTTTCTTTTTCTTTATTATTTCTCCCGCGTCACTTCTCTTTGCATCTTCTTTTCCACTCCCTCTTTTCCTCCCAATCTAAAAAAACACTAAGTTGTTTATATGAATATTGAAACTTCCGTTATGAAATTGCTTATGTCAGTTCCGTTATGAAACTGCCAATTTATCATGAATTCATTTCAAAATACACAAAGATCCATTATGTTCTTTTCGAGTTGTAGTTTATCAAGGACATATGTATATATTTATCAAACATATGACTTCAGATGAAAAATCATGTAAAGTTGTCGAGAAAGATAATGATAGCAGTGACAATGACGGTGATGATGATGAGAATGACAACAATAACAATGATGGTAACAATAATATTGGACGTCGGGGCTGTGTGGTGCAGCGGTAGTGATCTTGCCTAGCAATCTTGCTGACCTGCGTTCAAATCCCTCGCCACCAGTGGATGGTAACCCCGGCCATTCCTTGCACACAGGGGATAACTTTGAAGCAAAATGAAACAGACACTATGTCACACCGAGAATATCTATTATAACAAATGGAATCAAATTAAACCATTCGCTGTTTTCTGCTTCGTCTCCTTCATTGGGCGTGAGGCTGAGGAGACGCTCCGATAGAGACGCGGCGCTGCCACACCCAGGGCCCGTGACGAGGAAGCAAGAAAGGAGCTGCCGCCGTCGGTAAGTCTTCGTGGAAAGAGAGAGGGAGGGAGAGTGGAGGCAGGGTAAGGGAGATCTAGAAATGACAGGCGGATAAAAAGCTCGTAGACAGAGACAGAAAAAGAGAGGGGGGGGGAGGTAGCGAGAGGAGGAGAAGCAGGTGAATTAGAAACCAATAATGAGATAGAAACAGAGCAGCAGATAGAAGACAGGGACAAAAAGGTATGGCGGGATACAGAGACATATATCGGAAAATAAGAGTAACGGATAGATAAATAAATAGATAATGCGAAAGAAACGAACACGATTCAACAGAAAGACAAGTAAAGACAAACGGGTGGAAAGAGTGAGGGTAGAAGGGAAGGAAATGATGAAAAGAGAGCCTTAAGGAGGTCTTTTGCGAACAAATGTAAAAGTCAATGTAACACAAAAGGGCTTATTCATGGAAGTTAGATTGATTTTTTCTTAAAGGTTGAATGTAATTTCTTAATTGGATTTGGGTAAAAAAAAAATAAAACACTTGTTTTTAATTTGCAATTATTTTACTGTCATTAATATATCTATCTATCTATGTATATAGATAGATAGATAGATATAGATATAGATATATTTGCTGTTAGGTGAAGTTATAAAATATTTGCGCTACGTACATAGTAATTAATAAATTCGTATGTCTGTTTGTTTGTATTTAATATGATTCAAGTCATGTATTTATGTTGATTAAGGTGATGTAAATTCCTATAATGTTTAAACCGTTCATAGTATCTGGAGAAATCCTTAATAACGTGAGTATCATTGCATAAAACATAAAATATCGATACGAACAGTAACACCAAACCTACAGATCAAAAGGCGAGTCTTTCTCTTTTCCTCTATCTCTGCATATGTATTTATCTGATTATTATCTCTCTGTCACCCCATTTTCTCTTTCTTTCGCTCCCTGTCTGTTTACCGCTTTCTCCTCTCTTCCTCTCTCCCACAAGTTCTCCCCTTTCTCTCTCTTTCTCTTTCTCTCTCTCCCTCTATCTCCTCTATCTATCTGTTTATCTATCTATCTATTAACCCGCTTCCCTCGCTGTCACTGCCCGGTGGTGTTGCTAAACCACGCAGGTCGCTCTCCCTCCTCCTCTCCCTCCTCCTCTCACTCCTTCTCTCCCTCCTCCTCTCACTCCTTCTCTCCCTCCTCCTCTCACCCCTTCTCTCCCTCCTCCTCTCCCTCCTCCTCTCACCCCTTCTCTCCCTCCTCCTCTCACCCCTTCTCTCCCTCCTCCTCTCCCTCCTCCTCTCACCCCTTCTCTCCCTCCTCCTCTCACTCCTTCTCTCCCACCTCCTTTCCCTCCTCCTCTCCCTCCTTCTCTCCCTCCTCCTCTCCCTCCTCCTCTCCCTCCTCTCTCTCTCTCTCTCTCTCCTTCTCTCTCTCTCTCCTTCTCTCTCCCTCTCTCTCCTTCTCTCTCCCTCTCGGCTCCCATTCCTTCCTCAGAATGCCGAGGCTCCCATTCATACTGTTTCTGTGTTGTATTATTAGCCTCGTTAACATTCATTATGATTAAGATGTTATGAATATTTTATGGAGACAAAATTTCTTTCTTTCTTTCTTTTACAATAGAAACACGTCCTTTGATTCCTCTCCGTCACATGAATAGAGAGAACAAGGAGATGAAGAGCGAGTGAGACAAAACGGGAAAGAGAGAAAAGGGAAGAGAAATGTAGAAATGGAGAATTTAAAGAGATAAATTCGACAAAAAGAGAGAGAGGGGGGGAAGACAGAAACAGAGCGAGTGGAAGAGGAGTTATATAGAGAGAGAGTGAGAACGGGAAGGTGATGAGACGGAAAGGAAAAGAAAACGAGAGGAAAAGAGAAAAACAGAAATAGAGAAAGTAAAGAGGGAAGTTTGCCTCGATAATAAGAGAGGGAGAGAAAGGTAGAGACTAAAAATTATATATAATAAAACATTAAATAGTGGATAACTGAATCTTTCACAAGGGGACCATGGCAATCGATAAATACTATAGAAACTAAATAGGTAATGAAAGCAATTTATTACTTATGATTACCATCCAAATTGATATTGTGGTGATAGTAAAAATAAATATACATATAATCTCAATCGTAATAATAATAAGTTTAGTATAAACATTAAACGTCACAAACTTCTTTGATGCTACATTCAATTATTTTATTTACATATAAACCATTTCCTGCTGCATTTTCTTCTGGTTTGTTCACAAAACACCATTGGGAAGCAGAGAACCACTTACTATGCATAAGGGGATGTAGCTCAAGTGGTAGAGCGCTCGCTTAGCATGTGAGAGGCACGGGGATCGATACCCCGCATCTCCAAAAACTCTATTATCTTTGGACTCGGATATAGTTCTTGCTTTTCGATCTCATGACTTGGTTTTGCTGTTGACTATTAATGCTTCTCTAGTCGGGATGTTCCTGTTGGGGGCGATAGCAGCGGGTTTTATTGACGATGGTCGAACTGATTCGTTTACTAAGACGGATAAAGGAACAGCAGCAAAAACAAAGGAGGATGAAAAGGAGAGAGAGAGAAAGAGGGAGATGGATTAGAGTATTTTTTGAATTAATGTATTTGTTTATACCTTGACTTCAGCGTGCGATAGTTATGAGTTTTTGTTGTTTTTTTAATCGCTTACATTTCATTTGCGTATTTTAATGGGGATTTCATATTTTCTTTATTTTTTTTGTGTGTTACCAATGAGATTTCACGTGTAACCATTCTACTATCGTCATTTTCCTTTGGTAATCACACACGAAGCAATAAAATGTCCTCGTCACCATCTCGTTATTGCGCAATTTCTCTCGCCGTCGTCGGTCGCAGGTCTCTCGGGTGACGCAAGGAAGGCGACGGCGTAAAATAAAAATAAAATAAAAATGTAAAAAAAAGGCGACGACGTAAAAAAATAAATAAATAAATAAATAAAAAGGCGACGGCGTCACTTGATCGTAAATGGGATGGAACCGGGATGGCGGTGATGGCCGACCTGATGGTGTTTCACGTAGTTTATCAGATGAAAGAGACGTGTAGTGTTGAGGAAAAAGAGAGGCTAATAAGAAAGAATCAGTATGAACAGTGTATATGATGCAGTCGCAAGCATTTACAAGTGAGTGAGTGATTGTCTCTTCCTTCCTTTCATCCCCTCCCTTTCCTGAAGCGTAAGTGAAATATGACCGATTGTGTAATAATCCCAAAGCTAAAATTCTGGCTGGAGAAGCATTTCAAGAGCAAAGCGACGACGAAGACTAAGCTCTGCGTCCGATTTAAATCAAAATCATTATCATTATTTGGAGATGCGGGGTATCGACCCCCGTGCCTCTCACATGCTAAGCGAGCGCTCTACCACTTGAGCTACATCCCCTTGCCGATGGAAGGCGGTTCTCTGCTTATTAAGGAAGTCTTTACGAACAAATGTAAAGTAAATATAACACAGAAGGGTTTATTCATGGAAGCTAGATTGATTTTCTTATAGGATGACTGTAAATTTTTTTATTGGATTTGGGTAAGGTAAAAAATCAGTAATTACCCTCGCTTATTTGCAATTTGTAATTATTTTGATAAGTTTGTTTGCAAATTCCTATATTGTTTAACCCAGTTTAACATCTTTATAGTATCTGGAGAAATGCTTAATAATGTGAGTGTCAATACACAAAACATAAAATATCGATACGAAAAGTAACACCAAACTTATAAACCAAAAGAATGTACATATGAACTCAAACGTGATATTGATAACAATGATTATGATAAAGGCATAGCATATGCAAAAAAAAAACGTCACAAGCAAACGACTTCTTTGATGCTACATGAAAATATTTTACTTACATATATAGACACTTTTATGCTGCATTTTCTTCTGGTTTGTGCACAAAACACCATTGGGAAGCAGAGAACCACTTACTATGCATAAGGGGATGTAGCTCAAGTGGTAGAGCGCTCGCTTAGCATGTGAGAGGCACGGGGATCGATACCCCGCATCTCCAAAAACTCTATTATCTTTGGACTCGGATACAGTTCTTGCTTTTCGATCTCATGACTTGGTTTTGCTGTTGACTGTTAATGCTTCTCTAGTCGGGATGTTCCTGTTGGAGGCGATAGCAGCGGGTTTTATTGACGACGATCGAACTGATTCGTTTACTAAGATGTATAAAGGAACAGCAGCAAAAACAAAGGAGAATAAAAAGGAGAGAGAGAGAAAGAGAGAAGTATTTTCTGATTTAAATGTGTTTGTTTATAATTAGACTTCATTGTGCGCTATTTATATGTCTTTCTTCTTAAACACTTATATTT